TTTTTCTCCAAACGCTTTTACACGGATGTCTAGTGCAAGCTGATAAAAGTGCAGGGCAGACTTCCAGTCCTTTAGTGAAACGTTTATATCTCCTATGGAGTGGTAACTCTCTGCCGTGCTGTGATGTTCTTCTCCAAGAACCTTAAGCCTGATGTTCAGTGCACACTTATGAGATTGACGGGCTGACGTAAGGTCCCCAAAGGAGCTTTGCACTTCTCCTATAGAGTGGTAAATCTCGGCTGTTCTTGGGTGCTCCTCTCCAAAATGTTTCCGTATAATTTCAAAGGCACAATGGTATGACTGAAGGGCTGAAGCAAAGTCGCCAAGTGAGCAAGCCGTATTTCCGAGGGAGTGGTAACTCTCAGCTGTGCTAACGTGCGCCTCTCCAAATGTGTTTAATCTTATGTTCAGACCATGCTGAAAGGACTCACGAGCTGAATTGTAGCCACCCAAACTGTGAGTTGTTTTTTGGTGATGTTCTCCATGAAGCTTTAATCTAACGTCAAGTGCTGATTTTAAAGACTGAGAAGCAGAGACGAGGTCGCCAAACGCATGCTATGTGACTCCGATTGAGTGATAACTGTCAGCTTTACCAGGGTGTATGTCGCCAAAACATTCTCGTCTTATGTTAAGAGCTCCCATGAAAGACTCTGCTGAGCCCCAAGTGAGCAATAACTGTCAGCTGTGCTTGCGTCATTTGGACTAAGAAGTCTCATTCTGACAGCGAGCTTGCGTTGTTCAGCCTGAAATGCTTCTGGAAGGCAGTGCGTGCCGTGCTGTGCATTAATTTTGAATTGAGCAGAAGTTTTAGAACTCAAATCGAAAATTATAACTCTGTTCTAGAGATAAGACTTGCCAGACGCGTGTTCTTGGAATCGGCGTTCTTTCTCTGGGCCCTCCCCTTCATCATTAGTTAGCATACGAAGATTGGTGTGAAAATGAGACAAACCAAGCGTGGTTGATGGACTCATTATTTTATTTTCTCGGAGTAAATTCATTGCAGTGTTACTTAGACGTCGATTTGTCTCAATGTCAGTGAAGCTTTTAGTTGATTTACTAACAAGAATGAGAACTTCTGCCGTTAAAGGTCGTCTTTTCTACTGAACTCTTTCCTGCGTTTTCTCGCCAAGGGTTTCAGCTGCCTTTGCAGCAGCATCGTAATTGGAAACGAATCTGTTTTCGTCAGTCCAATGGAGCAGGTGAAGAAGCAACTCCGCATGTACAGGTACCTTAAACACAGCCCCAGCTGTTTGGGAACCTGACCCGGGACGCAGTTTAAGACACTGAACTATACTCTCCTCGTTTTCGTAGAATGTAATAAACGCCATCATGGAATCCCCTGTAAGGAACTCCTAATTTAGTTTCGTAAAGTAAGAGATATACAACTCACGGAAACGAGTACCTTAGGTGACTAACGTTCCTCTGAGTTCCGCTTCTCCTATTTCTTGGGCGAATGACCGAGCTAGTGAGTACATTGAGAAGGATTCACGTTTTGAACCAGATTCGAGAAGAGATTAATCGTGCAGGTGACCCGGTATCCTCTTAGCCCCGATGATTCTTGTTACTCCCATAACAGCTGCGGCAACTTTTATGTCAAAGTCATTTGGAAAAACACTCCCGGAGACAGAAGCTTCCCTTTCCTTTGTAGGTCTTTTTCGGAACACTTCATTGAGACGACCATTCGATGAATCATGGGTTGGACCTATCACATCGCTGTCCAGCAATCGGTGGAGTGGGCGCTTCTCTGCCCTGAGGAGATCTAGATAGCTATTCACCGAATTATTTCCTTCAGAAATTGAGTGACAGATAATCTTCAGAAGTAAAGGTATATTCTTACAGATTTGCAAGAGCTGAGTGCAGTCAGAAGCAGTCGCATCTGGTAGTAATTTGGAAACAAACTTTTGCGCTGGCGAATCATCTAAAGCTCCGACTCAAACTGCTTCGTGAATGATTCCTTGGCCGTTACGATGAGTTTAAACTGCTCGGCTCGGCTAAGGACATCTTGAAGAAAATTCAAGAAATCTTTATTGTCTAACAACCTATCAGCATCATCTAAAACGAGCACAGTTTGTTCCGTAATTACACTGAGGTGTTGTATAATTTGTTCGTCAATCGATGAACACGGCGGAGTTTGGCAAAGGGGGGCAGTTCCCCTAAAAAAGTCGAGAAGCATTTCCGTCACATCGACTTTTGACTGAAAATCTCGTAAAGAGAAGATGTGCACTGGTAATCCCATAGATTCTAGTTCATGTCTCACGGCGACGGCCACCAACGTTTTTCCAAATCCAGGTGGGCCACAAATCGACACCAATCGAGTATTTTCAAAACCAGAGCATATAATGATCTTTTCACACTCTCTTTCCCGGCCCAGAATATTTTTATCTCTAGGAGGTAGACATGGGCTTGGTAGAGTACCTGCTAGAAACAAAAAATGTAAATCACCACCTAATTAACCTTTTGTTTATTGAATCAATACAACATATCATCTAGAGAGATTCAATCGGATTTCGCTGCTTTGTAAATATAAATTAAAAGTCGATTTGAATAAATGTGTACGCGTAAATCTTTAAAGACCAACACAATTGCACGAGCCCGTAAAGCGAGCGCATATTTTGCGTTAGGTCAAACAGTTGTGCTCAATCAAAATAAAATACATTATAAATGTTTTTTTCAAAGATTTTCAACTGCAAAAAAATTGAAAGCAAGACAAGCGGTGGTTACCTTTTTTGCTCTGAATTACATGTTTTCTGAAACTAAATTCCTTCTCTCCTGCATTGTGTTACCGGAAAACGGTATTACCCTCAGCCAATCAAAATGAAGGCATTTTTCGTGTATATTACTATCACTTTAAAACACTTTATCAAAAACGTGTCTTCGTAGCAAAACACGTAAATGTTGCGCCCTCTAATTTTGCATGACAAAAGAGAAAAAAAACACCTCTTGCGAGTATTAAATTTCATCCTTACCCCGCCCTTTGATGGCAAACGCATCGAGATGAGATTGAATTAGTTCTTCGCTCATATTCCTATCCTGGACGCACAGAAAGACGCCACCACGGTGAATCCTTACCTCTCTGTCATCAGGATCTTGCAAACAAATTGTACAAGGGAAGAAGAAGATTTGCTTTCAAGAGCTCTCATGCCCTTTTGGCTGTATGTTCCTAGCTTTGATGTTATCAACACATCTCCTGTGCGAGCTTTGCGGAATTGAGACTACCGCAAACACCAACTAGAAATACCACTTTCGGTCTCATTTTCATTCGTTTTTTTCGAGGAAACGGTATAGTCAACAGGCGTTGCGTTCCCATGGGACTTAACCAATGCCACCATCAGTTGCCCGATTTTTTAAAATACACATCTCCTACATCCTGATCATGGCTTTTAAAAGGATTATCAAGATATGCAATGGAACTTAGAAACTCGAACTCCTACACTGTTAATAGGAGAATGTCTAAGGGAAACTTGACATCCCCCCAGTTCCTTAGAAACACTTCAATATCACTCATCTTCGGAACAGTGAGACTCATATGTGATGGAACCTCGTTGCAGTTTTCAGCTATAAAGAGAAAAAACTATCCCTTAAATTTATCAGGAAGTAAGACGCCCTTGCCACAATCGTTCCAGCAATACAGAAAGGAATATATGTAGTTGACGCCAATGTTGGGCACTGTTTTGTACCGCCGGTAGATAAGCAAAACAGGAAAGAGCAATTTACGCCTTTCAGATATTACTCTACCTACATCTTAATTTTCATTTCTTTTTTTCACTGATTCTGTTGATCAAATCTTTACGGGTTTATTTATAGTTTGGTTTACACGAGGTGTTCGTTTGCAAAAAGGCCGAAACAAAAAATATTTATTCTGAATTTACATGTTGGAGGTCTATACTCTTCAGTATTTGCACTGCCTGTGTGACCCATCCCTCGCGCACAACAAGCTTCGATTGACTTTGGGCAAATATTTCCATCACTATCTGAACTGAGAGATATTCAAGGAATAAGAGCGGCTCAGATGATTTCCCGAATGATTTCCCCGAGGTTTCCCTTTTTAAATGTGATGTGCAAAAAATGGAACAAGGTTTCACCGCCGTTGAAGAATGTGTTTAGCCTATAAATATGGGAGGAGATACCATCAGATGGTTTGTATCCCTTTAAATAGAAAGGCATCTTTACGATCGGGGAAATGTATTGGTTTATTACCAACAAAAAAGGAAGAAGAAAGGCAAACACAGGTATGGAAGCACGCCACCGGACGAAATAATGGATTTTCGAGGTTAGCAAATCTGTAGCAGAGATGACGTAAAGACCGCATTTGATTCGCCTCAACCAAGTTTGCTCTAAAGCAAATTTCGTGTTTGGGAACGTGTTTACTGAAGGAGCAAAGACGGTAATGCCCGTTTTTACTTGCTATTTGGTTTTATAGGCAAACGTCGTGTAAAAAACGTATTTGTCAAGTATTTAAGCAGGCAGTGTGCTTTTGGCAAAAAGTGCATTTGTAATAATCTTGAGTTTAGACTGCAGTTAAGTCATATAATAGATGAGCTTGAGGTACGACTTAAATTGATTGCAAGTGATTAACTATTATTACTTAACATACAATCCTGTTAAAACCGTTCATTCCCTCTTTTTTTCGGGTAGGATGGTTGATCATGATATCTCTCCATAGGCTTGTTTAATTTGTTAAAACTGATCATGAATGAAATGAAGATTTAAATAGCAGTCACTGAATGCCCCTGAAGCACTGAAAGCTTTCTCAATGACACAGCGTAAGTTGGCAACTGGCTCATCTTGTCAGTCAGTACTTTGGTGGTGCTGTAGTCGTAGACGTAGCGTTTCCCTTTCTCGCTACCAGGATACCGTTTGATTTGAGGCTTTGGATTTAAGGTCACCAGGTTGATAAATATTTCCGTAAGGAAAGTTTCATAGGGATAGTTTTATTAGTAAAACTGCTTGTATTGACTAACCAACAAGTTCAAGGAAAAAATCCTTTAATGATTGATTTAGCTGCATGCTGAAGTACACTAAGATATAAAAATTTTGTATTATGAAACCAGGATAACTTGTTTCTCTTAGTTTTGATTTTACACCTGTTAAGTCTTAACAATGAAATGACTTATTTTCTCAAAGAATTCCCTCGGAAGTTTATTTTAACTGTACCTTTTCAACTGGAATTATCTAGCCGGAATTTGCATAAAATAATTTGGAAGTAATACCATAGTTATGACTAGCTTTTTGTTACTCAGATCATGAGTGACTGTTTTACAACTATGTAGGCTGGGTTTTGTATTTACTTCTTCCCTGGTATTTTTTTATTGCAACTTCAAAGACAATCAAAGCAGGAACTTAATCTGCGGAATACAGTTAATCTAGAAATGACTAATTATTAATGTTATTTTATGTTCTACTCAAATCGAAACAATACGCCAGTGTTTAGTGGAAACAGCAAGCATAGAAAAAAGTTAACTATATAACCATCTTTATGTGCAAGAGCTATTTACAGATTTGCATTGTACATGAAAACAACAAGCTTTTATGTTTTTGGTAGGCAGAGGCCTGCCACTATTGCTTGTTTATTTGCCTAAAATTGCATAAAGTCAAACCTCAATGAAGCAGCAGCTAAATAAAGGTTGGCTGCTTGATAGGTTTTCATCAGAAATTTGCATATGGTGCGGAAGACTACTGCCAGAAAAAACAAAAAAGATAACAAAAACTACCACACTCATCTTAGTGACAACGGAATATGGTCATTATGATTAAGAACTTGTTAGTTTTTATCAGTTGTTAGAACTTGTTAGTTTTATCACTTTGCAGAGAAAGTAAATATGTGGCAAATGCATGTGGAACTTTCCTATTTACCTTTGTAACAAAAGTAAAGTGAATTTCATGCAATTGTAATATTCACTCAACATTTGCAAGAAAATACATCGGGAACAAAAGCTTGAGTTTACATATATTGTGCCATTTTTGCATATATAAGTAAATGTGGTAAAAAATGGTGCAAACAAATTGGTTAGCACTATTTTAACTTGTATTTGCATCTGTGGTAAATGTGTCACTTTTGAATGAAAAGCAAATGTGTGGCAAATGTATGTTGAACTTCCATATTTACCTTATAAAGGTTAAGTAAGGTGAATTTAAAGCAAATTTAACATTTACGTCACATCTGCGAGTAAATACATCAGGAACAAATGCTCGAGATTACATCAACTTTGTAGCCAGAGCATAATTAGTGCAAATTTTAGAGCCCTAAATTTGCACCATTTAGAGTGCCACCATTAGCCTATGTAGCAAATCAGTGAAAATCGATTTTTTTCGTCCAACAAGTTTTATTGTCTGGCGGTGCTCTTGCTGCAAATCCTCAATCTTCTGCTTCAACATCGTAATGATCTCCTCGCTTTTGTTGCCTCTGAAGCCCTCGAGATACTTGACATCAGTAAGAACCTCCTGTCTGATACCATCCTCTACTTCGCAAGGCACTGGGGGGGGCGAGTCTGACTCCTTCAAAGCGATGGCGTCAATTTTATCTGTTGCAATTCCAAGAGCGATGAAAGCTTCTTTAGTTTGCTGTACGTAGTGGTCAAATGTTTCTTTATCAATTTCGGCCTTTAATGAGTGGCAAAACAAATTTCGCAGCAGTCGAAGCTGATGAATGGCGTGTAATGAGGATTCTAAATCATATCCAACCGGGCTCATCACAGATGCATTGAACTTACCATGCGGTAGTTTACGACGTTGACCTTTACTATCTGGCTTAGCAAAGGATCGTGCGTGGATGATGGCCTGGATCAGGGCGAAGAAGTCCCACTCTTCATATGAGAGGTGTGTAGGAACTCTGGTTTTGCCGCCCTCTGCCTTAAGAAACAAATTTCTCACATCCGGGGAGTCATCCCATGATTTAAATCCAGTCATATTTCCAAACTTGTTGTCCCACATGGTTCGAAACGTTTGACGCAAGGCTCTAGGAAATTCTGTGGTTACAATCTGAACAAACTTGAAGTAGTTCAGCTGCTTGTCACTGAAGTTTGACCTAAGCTCTTTTTCACGTACTTTTTGAGAAGGAGCTGTGTTTTCTCCAGTTTTCATGATCTCGCTAAAGGAGTCTGAAAAAATCATTAAAATAAAATTAAAAGACATAAAAAAATTTTGGCTTTAATTTTATTTAATTACTCAGCTCTCCAGTACACAATTCTACTTACATCCAATTCTACTTCTTTCTGTGTAACTCTGGTTAATTTCTCAGGCTCTTACACTTTGACTCTCATCGGATACTTTTCATCGAATTATGCGGCTAAACACTCACTTCAACTACGGAAGTCTGTCTCTACTCTTCTGCACACTGTCTACATTCTTCTAGTGTACTATATATGCTCTAAATTACACGCTTATATATTCACTATTGATAAGCATGGGTGGACGTGCTAGCTGACTGACCTAGGGGGATTAAACACCTGTTGCTAGAACACTAAACCAAACACTTTCACGATACTTTTGAAATAAGCAACAGAGTACTTAATCATTATGCTTCCAATCGACTGAATCAACCTCTGAATGCGTTAGCCAAAACAATAACTTTTGTATGAGTCCAAAGCAAGGTCAGCAGACAAACTAGGTACATCCAGTTGGAAGTTAGACAAGACAGTCACAACTCGGGAACTCATCGCGACAGCTTGAACCTAAACAATCTCAAAATTCGAAATTATACAGTAACTACATTCTAAATATAGACGGATGACTAAATCATACTAAACTGACTGACTAACTGACTACATAAACTATCTAAATACTTCATAACATGCTCTTTTTTTCAGTAGTAGTGCAAGTATTATTAGGCTCAGGAAGGAATCCGTTGCTGCTTATGGTACCATTTGGGAATGACTTCGAAGAAGGGTTTGGATTTATGTTGAAAATGTTTATCTTAGTCAAGTACTGGAAGACACGTCAAGTTAGAGTAACAAAAAAATAAACTTGTGGAACGTCTTCGCTGGTGTTGCAAATTTCCTCCAATTTAATCATTGAGCACATTGAGGTCAGCAAAACAGTTATCGATATACGCTTTGTGCCGTTTGCTGAGCAAAAACGAAGTAGCACACAAAAAAAGGCTTTTAAATATCATTTATTCATATTGTTCTTTCCCTTTAAAGATAGTTTAGATAATTTAGAACGACGAGGAACGAAGAAACTGTAGCAAAAGTTCAAGGCCCCCTCCACACAATCATTTTATCTGCTGCTAGTTAAGGAATGCTCTTGCCTCGTTTTCCTCATCATTTCAGCGGAAAAACGCATGCCATAATTGGTGTTCAAAACTGATTTTTAGGTAATATTTTAAAATAGCAGTGAGCCTTTTGTTAAAAAGTTTCATGTCTGATGCTACATATTTATTACCACAAAGTGTGAAGATGGTCTTCGGATATTAACTTACTCGGATTTTCTTGTGTTGCCTCAATAGCTGTAACGATTTCCTGCCAATTGACGACGTTGAACTTCTCATCTGTTCTTTCACTTTCAGAGTATCTGCCATTTGACATTTAAAACAACGTGATTTAGAAGAATTCAGTTGCTACATGAGCTCCAGGCACTGGAGCATAACAATATCCTTAATAGAGAATGCTTGATAATATGGAGGGAAAATTCACACTTTTGACTGGCCAGAAGAAAGTACTGCAGTTCTCAATAAATTTGGAACCCAAGTGAAAATTACGAATGTATGCTCAAAGCGAATGTGAGTTAGCACCAGCCTGATTTGAGTAATGGGGTGATTTAGGAAGAGGATGGGTACGTCAGTTGACAACGGCGCGCGCAGCAAAAACACTAGAAAGAAATTGGGTCGAGAACGTCCCCCCGTTGTGTTTCAAACGTGACGTACCAGTCGTTGTAACTAGACGTCAAATTCATATTTTTTCTTGAGTATCCTGACCTCGGTTTATTGAAGATCGTCATCACCTTTAAATTTTCGGTTTCACGTATCACTTTAAGGACAACGAAGTTATTTCCTATGAGAGTTATACAACAAGCGAGAACGGAGAATAATTATAGATACGGCAAGCAAGATGTTCACATCAACCCTTTTGTACAATTTAACTTTTTAAAATTTATGCCATTCCAGTTAAGACTCGTTTCTGTTGATTCATTTATCAAATTTTAGAGCCCATTGAATAATTTTCTTCTGCGATTTGTGTCGCTGTTATTTCGTTTCGAGCCATTAGATTTCAGTACTACTTGTTTTTATTCATAATTTTACAAAGTATAATTTGGAAATCGTCGTCGTTTTATTCCCTTGTTTGCCGGATATTTCTCCCTGTTCATGACAGTGCTTCTCTTTTCAGCTCCATCTTCTTAGAGTTGCAATACATTTTGAACAGACTTTTGACGAAACCATGAAGGGACCAAGAAGTCGAAATAAAGTCGTGTCCTGACTATCCCCGCGCTCTCCTGTTCTCAAATGACGTTCTTATCCTCTTCCTAAATCACTCTGATAGTAAGACAAAGTACGCGTCATGCGTGTTATGGAATAGTACCCGTCATGTGCACACACTGCTGCCTCGCTTTTCGCCGAGTTAGTTGTCGTTTTTCATGAAAACGTATCATCGATGGCTTGTTCATTTCTTAAATTTTGTCATAGCTTCGATTTATTTGTAACAGAACTTTATGCCTTCCGGTTCTGTCTGCAGCCATACTCGTAATAAGAACTGAAATCGGTCTTCTGCATCGCGGTCGACCGATTTTGTTAGTTACTTGTATGATTATTCCACTCAGTCTTATAACATTACTAATAGCGAAGCATTTTCCTTAGTTAGAATATTCAATTAAATTCAGTTCAGTTGACAGCTTGAATCTACATGGGCAAACCGGTTAGCTTCTTATGCTAGGCCTCCGTGTACTACACTTTCAACTTGTCTTACCTTTTGGTCACATCTTCCAAGTATTCGGCGATTTCATTGTGTCCACGTGCTCTCGCTACATATTCTGGTAAAAGCGGTCTTCCTTTGTACGAATCAAATACTATTCTTCCGGCGGGTAGGTCAAAGATAAGTCGAATGAACCAAACAGCGTTTACTTTGGCTGCCGCGTAAATGAACCTTTGTAGGAGCTGAACTGACAATGAAGGTTTTTCCCAACCAGAAGGCCCTACAATCGCTAAGAAAATAAAAAAAATTATCTATTATTTTCAAAGAACAGAGACAAATTATGGGAGAGATCTTATTGTGCCCATGTTTAGGCATTTTTTGTTTCATTACTTTGGCTCTGTTATCACCAATCACTCCTTTCTTCCTCCAGTTCAAACTATAGTGAAAAATTTTTTCTAAATACTGTTCAACAACAATCTTCTTACCTAAAATAAGGTTTGAAATCTGTTTTTCCAGCTTTCAACCTTTTGCTTTGCTTACTGGATTGATCGGACTTAAGAGTTAAAGGGATTAAGAGATAGTAATGAGAAAAAAGAAATAAATACAAATTGAGAGGATAAATTGTTAAATACCTACCATCATTCGTATGATTTTCTCCGTCGGAAGCACCTCCTTCAGAATGTACATTCAGGCATGGAATGGCAGCCTGAAGGAATTGCAGCATCGTTTTTAGGCAAATGACTGCTTGTTTCAACGTCTCGTCAGTCAAATCTGTGTACACAACTTTTGTCGCCTCCAAAAAATTTTCTTGATTATGCGAGGAGACTGTTTCTTTAAAAACACCTTCTGTTGATGAGTCTGCAACATTTACGGATGAAATTGCTCAAATCATAGCTACCTCTTTTTTAATAACAAACAAGGCAAGTAATCTGTGAGGTGAATTTGGAAAACTTACATCGCCCTTTCGGCCACAAAATGTATAGTTTCGAGAGTACAATGATTGAAAAATAACTGAGCTACCTATTCATTTGTGTTGAGGGACGAAGAAACTGTAGCAAGAGAGCAAGGCCCCCTCCACCCAATCACTTCATCTGCTGGTAGTTGAGGAATGTTCTTGTCTAATGTTCCTCATCATTTCAGTGGAAAAACGTATGTCATAATTGACATTCAAAACTGATTTTCAGTTAATCTTTTAAAATAGCAGTGATTCTTTTGTTAAAAAAGGTTCATGTCTGATGCTACATATTTATTACCACAAAATGTAAAGATGATGTGCGGATATTAACTTACTCAGACTTTCTTGTTTTGCCTCAATGGCCGTAACGATTTCTTGCCAATTTATGGCGTTGCACCTCTCCTCATCTGTTATCTCACTTCCAGAGTATCTACCATTTGACATTTAAAACACCGTGATTTAGAAGAATTCAGTTGCTACAGGAGCTCTAGGCGTTGGAGCATAACAATATCCTTAGTAGAGAATGCTTGATAATATGGAGGGAAAAATTCTCTCTTCGGACTGGGTAGTAGAAAGTACTGCAGATCTCAATAAATTTGGAACACGAGTGCAAATTACAAATGGTGCTACTCAAAGTGAATGTGAGTTAGCACCAGCCTGGCAATGGGGTGATTTATCAAGAGGACAGGTACGTCTGTTGACAACGGCGCGCCAAGTAAAAACACTAATAAATAAAACTGGATCTCTCCGTCGTGTTTCATACGTGACCTACCAGTCGTTGTAACTAAACGTCAATGGTATGTTTTTTGTTGAATATCCTATTCTCGGCTCCTTAAAGATCGTCATCACCTTTAAATTTTCGGTTTCACATATCACTTTAAGGTCAACGAAGTTATCTCCTTTGAGAGTCATACAACAAGCGAGAACAGAGGATAATTATAGATACGGCAAGCAAGATGTTCACATGAATCCTTTTGCACGATTAATTCTTTTAAAATTTATTTTATTTCAGTTAAGTCTAGTTTCAGTTGATTTATTTATCAGATTTTAGAGCCCATCGAATAATTTTTTCTGCGATTTGTGTCGCTGTTATTTCGTTTCGAGCCATTAGATTTCAGTACTACTTGTTTTTATTCATAATTTTACAAAGTATAATTTGGAAATTGCCATCGTTTTATTCCCTTGTTTGCCGGATATTTCTCTTTATTCATGACAGTACATCTCTTTTGAGCTCCACCTTCTTAGAGTTACAATACATTTTGAACGCACTTTTGGCGCAACCATGAAGGGACCAAGAAGTCGAAATAAAGTCGTGTCCTGACTATCCGCGCGCTCTCCCGTTCTCAAATGACGTTCCCATCCTCTTGCTAAATCACTCTCATAGTAGGATAAAGGAAGCGTGCGTGTAATCGAATAGTTCCCGTCTTGTGCGCGCACTTCTGCCTCGCTTTTCGTCGAGTTAACTGTCGTTTTTCATGAAAACGTATAATCGATGGCTAGTTCATTTCTAAAATTTTGTCATAGCTTTGATTTATTGGTAACAGGACTTTATGTCGTCCAGTTCTGTCTGAAATCATAGTCGTAATAAGAACCGAAATCGGACCTTCGGCGACCGATTTTGTTAATTACTTGTATGGTTACAGACCGAATTGGACTCCACTAACTAAATTCGGTTCAGTTGATGGCTTGAAGTTACATAGACAAACCTGTTAGACTCTTATGCTAGGCCTCTTTGTACTACACTTTCAACTTGTCTTACCTTTTGGTCACGTCTTCCAAGTATTCGGCGATTTCATTGTGGCCACGTGCTCTCGCCACATATTCTGGTAAAAGCGGTCTTCCTTTGTACGAATCAAATACTATTCTTCCGGCGGGTAGGTCAAAGATAAGTCGAATAAACCAAACAGCGTTTACTTTGGCCGCTGCGTAGATGAACCTTTGTAGGAGCTGAACTGACAATGAAGATTTTTCCAAACCAGAAGGCCCTAAAATCGTTAAAATAATGGAAAACAATTTATCTACGATTTTCAAAGAACAGAGTGAAATAAGCGAGATTTTGTTGTGTCCATGTTTAGGCATTTTTTTGGTACATTATTCTGGCCCTGTTATCACCAATCACTGCTTTCTTCCTCTAGTTTATAATATAGTAAAAACTATTCCCTAAAATACTTTTCAATAACAATGATCGTCTTACTTTAAATAAGGTTTGAAATCTGTTTTTCTAGCTTTCAACCTTTTGCCTTGTCTACGGGATTGATGGGACATAATAGGTAGAGATATTAAGAGGAAATGAAAAAAAATTAAAAAAAAGGGAATTAAAATTCAAACTGAGAGGAAAAGATAACAAATACCTACCATCATTGGTATGATTTTCTCCGTCGGAAGTACCTCCTTCAGAATGTACATTCTGGCATGCAATGATAGCCTTAACGAATTTCAGAAACGCTTTTGGACAACTGATTACTTGTTCCAACACTTCCTCTACCAAATCTATGTAAACAATTGTTGTCTCCCCCAAACACCTTCTTCGATCTTCCGAGTGGACTGTTACTTTAAAGGCACCTGGTTTTAATGACTCTGCAACATTTACGGATTCAAATGCTCAAATCATAGCTGCCTATTTTTTAATAACATACAAGATTAGTAATCTATGGGGTGAATTTGGAAAACTTATATCGCCCTTCCGGCCACAACATGTATAGTTTAGAGAGTCAAAAGATTGGAAGTGAGTGAAACTCGTTTTAGATGGGAGATTTAAACCGGTTAGAAAATTTAAATTTACCATCATACAATAGTAAGAGCAGAAACAATTTTGGTGGTGGGCTCAAACTAGGATAAATGTATGCTTCCATTTTTTTGCATATCAAACCTAGTATATTTTCGATCACTTTACGACTTAAAAGTAAACCGCTTTATAGATAAGAACAACTGCTGCGTTTCACTTATAAGGTAAAGGAATGTACATGGTATTCTTGAGCGAGGTATTTCAATTTTTGATCTACCTACCTTCCTTGTTGCATCAAACTACAAATTAATTATTATGATAAAGAAGATATACTTACGTGGAAGAGCTCTTCCTAACAAGGTCTTGTCATCCATCTTGACTAAGCTTACTCCCTTTTCTAGATTTTCAAAATCCGCAACTCCAGATTCCATCTCTTCTGGAAGCTTTCCCGCAAATTCGATTTTAAATGACACTTCGTTCTGATACTAAATAAATTAATTTTAAAAAAATGACAATAAACCTATTTGAAGGAAAGAAATAAGTCATGGTCAATTAAAAAGTGGCATTGTTATAAATAAAATAACTAGTAATTACCTAGTTTATTCATCTGTTTATCGCAAGACGGAACACAATATGAGCGATCTGTTTCCTCCTTCCTCTCCTTTCTCCTCTCACTTTAACTTAACTGCTTCTCAGTTGTTCCAATACCTTAGCTAAAACTTGGGTTTGAATTGTAAGTACAACGGTTCAAAAAGCCAACTCTCGTGGCTCGCATTGGATCTGCTAGATGATAACAGCAAACTAAATATAATACCTTAAAAAGAACGATGTCTGGATTGATGCGTTCCAAATGGAGTTGGCTTTCAGGCAAATCTTCTGTTAATTGTGATAGCCACAAGAAAGGAGAGAAGTCAACAGACAAGTAAATTGATGAAACGAAGGTATGTCAACTAAAAAAGCCACTTAATTCTTCCAAAAATAAATTCTTCCGTTGAGAAACATGAAAACAATAAAATTCTGTTCTTTTTCTGATGATGTTGTGACCAAATACTTTGTAGATCCAGACACTGAGGGAACTGAGCATTACAAAAGCAACAGAACCACCAATTAAAAAATTTCCGCTGCCGCTCACCCATTCACCTTTCTTCACTTTCCCCTTCGACCCTGAAATATGCCTGATTTTTACGGTCGCATCAGGTTTATTGTCACTAAATTAAGGCAGACTCGATGAGGTTCAATGGCATTTGGTTCAATTCTAGGACATTTTAAGGAAGCCGGTCACCCAATACGAATCATTTCAAGCAACTAAATTAATAAGGTTAGTTAGTTTTGACTTCTTAGTATAAAAACCTGGAAGCACATTCAATTCCTTCTCGCTCGACCCCAAGTGTTTGTAAGTTTTCTTATTCATTTTTGTCTTTATTTCCTTTCCTTCTTCAATTTTTTAAACTTTACTCTTCTAAAGCATACGTTTTTCTCTTTTCGCCCAGAACGTCGGCATTTTTTTTTCCGACTTACAACAACTAGCTAGTGAAGTGAATCCGACCGAGTTTAAACTAGAATTTAAGAGTTTGGTCCAAAAACGCAACGAAAACATACACACCAAAACAACTTTGACCGAGTAAAATCACATCATGTGAACACGTGATTAACAATCAACGAGTCAATGTCAACTGCGGGGGTCCCTGAACTTCACACACCCCCCTCAACTCAACCAATAGACCAAATACATTAGTTAATGTCCTTCACTGTTCGATTTCGATTAAGTCTTAAAAAAAAACTTTTAACTATTCCGGACCTGAGTCATTAAGTGTTCTCAACATAACTTTGTATTTAATTCAGTCAGCTTAACCAACGGCTCTAAGCATTGGTTGGCAGTCTCCTCCTTTCTTCACCTGCTCGAGCGGCCTGTCTCCATGGTCGCAAAGGCATTTCCTTCAGTTCTGCTTGGACAGGTTCTGGGTTCCCTTCTTTCTGTACGCTGGTGACGTCTTCAGTGGAGCTCTCCGGTTCCTTCTTAACATCAATTAGAATTTCAAGGGAAACAAGCGTTATAGAGGACGCCGTAAATACGAATTCTTTCCCTTATGTCCAATGCGGAAGACTGCTCCCCTTGAGGTGAGTCTCTGCTTGTGAGCCTTGTGATATGGTGATCACATGGCAACCATGAGGGAAACTTAGCTGATTCCGGTAGAGACGAGTTGCAGAGTCTTCTCTTGCACCTCAAGATTCCATTCATGTCCCTGATTACTCCCTACTAAGCACACTGTTGTTCGAAATTTCGATTCAGCAGCAAAGACTTCTCAGACTCCAATATCCACAACGATTCACTGAACAACACTTCTTCACCGTTAAGACTTCTAGAACCAACAGGACGTACAGGCTTTGAGGACCTGCCTTAATGGTGTTCACAAAGCGTATGACATAGGCAGTTATTCTACACAGTTTAGAGAAGTCACTGTAGTCTTTACAGTTTATGACATGTGCTATGCCTACTTCAGGTGTTTTTGTCACATGGAGTGTGGCTGATTCTTTTAGATCTCGTTCTGCCTGCAATTTCATTTCTAGCTGCTACTCATTTCATTTTAAATTAGTTATGAGAATTTTGGTGTTAGATCAAAACAGCAACTTTAACTGTACAAATCTGTATGCAAGCAGCTTTCCTTGCACCCCTGTCACACCCATTTCCTTCACGCACTCTGGTAGTGGCTGAATCATTTTAAATCCACGTGGATCCATTCCACCAAAGGGTGTTGCTTACTAGAGACAAGGGATTCATTCCTCTCGCTGCTGGGCCCGCTGGATTTTCCACGTCTGGAACATGAGCTCATATATCAGTCGGCAAGAGTTGTCTGCTTTCTGCTACTCTGTGGTTGACGAACTGCTTCCATTCGTTATCCTTCCTCCTAATCCAGTATAGAAAATTATTCGAGTCTGTCCAGCAGCAGACGCGATTAACAACGAGGCACTGTTCCAGTGTTTTCTTGATCCGTGCTGTCTACCTTGTCAGTATTAACGCAGCTAAGAGCTCCAACCTCGAAATAGTCTGCTTCTTTAGTGGGGCAACACCAGTTTTTGATGCAATCAATCGGACTTGAGTACTGGTTCGGGATTTGAATACCAAGTAGACCACCGCTGCATAGGCTGAAGATGAGGCGTCACCGAAAGCCTCCAGCTCATATACAAGTTCCATAATGTCAGGTTCGGAAGTGACACATCTAGGGATCTGAATGACATTCACGTGCCCCAACTCTGAGATCAACTTCATTCATCGAATTTTCAGTTCCGAGTCAAGTTCTGCATCCCAGTGGTGGTCTGCCTTGCAGATGTCTTGCAAAAGAATCTTCATTTGTACAATAATTGGTGAGATCAAGCCCATAGCATCATAAAAACTTGCTATCACTCTAAGTAAATTCCGTTTTGTGGGCATTAGCCCTTGTGCGCTTTCGACATTTGTCTGAAACTTGAACAAGAACTCATCTGTGACATAGTTCCAGTTAGTTCCAAAAACCTTCTTTTCAGTGTTGACATCCCTCCCTTCAAGACCACCGGCCATGATTCTATTCTATGTCTCATAATCTTCATCAAGCTGATCGCCCTCTTCTGTTCGGAAACTTAATTCCCTCTGAGATTCCTTTTTACTTGATCTTCTCCAATAGGGGCTTGAGTTGGTCAGCCATTTGCGCAAGTTAAATCCCCCTTGAGCCATTCTGTCTCTTGACTTGAGATACAGTTGGTATGCCTTGTCCACATCTTCAAGGCTTAAACTCAGATCATCTAAATACAACGAGCGAAGAATCTGATTGAAAAATTCAGGGTCTTCCCTTTCATGGCTGGTGATGTACTTGAGGAGAGTTGCATTCAAAAGAAAGGGACTGGAAGTAGCTCCAAACACAACTCTAGCAAATCTGTTTTCCACTATCTTAGGTTCCGCTGAATTCATATCATCCGCCCACAGAAAACGCAGAACGTCTCTGTCCTCCTCCTTTACGACTATCATGAGGAAGACTTTCTCTATGTTGGCAACTACTGCAATTGGCTGGACTCTGAATCATATGAGAATGTCTAGGATGTCAGGAGTTAAGGGTGGTCCAGTATGGAGGGAATCGATTGATCCTGGCCCATTTTCTCTTGCTAGTGCATTATACAAAATGCGAAGCTTGGTTGTTGGCTTGTCTTCTCTTACGAAGCAGTGATGGGGAAGGAAATGTATCTGATGACAAGGCTGAGCTTTCTCCGATTGGTCAACTCTTTCGATGATTCCCATGTCAAGCTGATCCTTTATCACACGATCATACTTCTCGAGTTGCTTTGGCTTCAGGCTGGGTCTCTTCAACAAGTCTTAATAATCTTCTCTGAATGAGACTGCGATTGTCAGGCAGTGGGTCATGAGCTTCCTTCCATGGAAGGCCTACTTCATATCTCTGATTCCTTAAGTGATTGTCTCTTTGAATGATTCTAAAACAGAGTTTTCTTCCTGCCTAATTGAAGTTGATTCCAGTTCCCAGAAGGTGCGGAGTTTCTTGTTAAGCTCCATCTGATGCACATCCATCTCATCTCTGCGAGCATCAGTCCGAAGTACGTGTGTTGCCGCCATATTGACTGAGTGAGTATCTGAGCGAGGTGCATTCTCGACAGGACCAGATAATGTCCATCCAAATCCTACGTTCATTGCAACAAGCCAATTCTCTCCTCTTCTGACCTTTCCGTTTGCAATGTTCCACTGCTGATCTGCTCCAATGAGAATGTCTACGACGAGATTCTATTCTGAAGTACGTTCCAACGAAACAATGTCCTTCAAATGAGCATGATTTTTTTCTTGCAAATTGAACTGCTTGATAATCCAGCGGTGAACAGATAATTGGTACAACATGGGCCGTAACGGTTACAGTGACGTCATTATCAACATTCTTCATGCATAAGTTCACAACGTCAACAGTCTTAAGGTTGTTGTAATCTGATCCAAATGTCTTCATACACAATATTTCCTTTGCCATTTGTTTCAAGCTTAGATTCTCCTTTAGTTTCTGAGTGATGTACATCTTTTGACTTCCACTTTTCAGAATGATTCTTACACGATGTTTCTCTTAGGGCTGTACTGAGGTAGGATTTGACGCTGAGGCGCTGCAGGTTTGCATCCAAAGAGATGTCTTTTTGTTAACATACATGCTAATAGATGAACTTGGTTGTCCACCTCCTTGAGTGGGTGGCTGAGTTACACCTGGTAGGGAGTTGTCTGATGCTGGAGTGACATTTGCCATGCACAAGCTTGGATGACGTCGCCGGATACAATTTGAGCAGCCCCGTTTGGAATCACAATCCTTTGCAATGTGGGAGGTAAATGAAACAATGCCATTGTTTCTTGAGTACGTCATTTCTTTCACTGACATTCGTGACAACAACACAGCCTACTGATCTGTGACCCTACTTACAAAAGATAAATGTAATTATTTGTCCCTCAGGAGCCAGCGATGCATTTAAATGTGGTTGAGGGAGCTATGGTGGGTGTTTCTTCTTCAGGGTTGTAGAGGGAGTTGTTGCCATTGAGTTACACCTTTCCCATGCTTCAACTTTTGTTTTGAATACTTTCAGTAATTCATCAAGGCTTCAATTTCATGTGTAAAACTCCCTGCTAATTATCAATCTTAGCTCTTGGGGAACCTTACTGAGGAGAACCGGGACGAGTAAGCTACCATGCTGTTGAGCCTCTACACCCAAAGCTTGCAAGCCTCTGATATGGATTTCTATTTTTTCATATAATTGTCTGATTCCCTTTACATCATTGACAGAACCGACCACTGGCAACTGGAGTAAGTTATCCATATGAGAGCTGATGATTAGCTGTTTGTTTCCATACCTTTGCTCTAAGATCTCTCTCGCCGAGTTGTATTTTCTGATGTCAATGGGAGCCCTTTAATTGCCGCTGCGGCTGGACCTTCTACGAGGGACTTCAAATTGTTAATTTTGTTTACATTACTAAGTTTCGGGTTTGAATGAACAGCACTGTCAAAACAATCGATGAACGCTTGCCACTCCGTCGGTCGACCATTGAATCTTTTCATTTCTAATTTCGATTGGGGACTTCAGCTTCTTTCTTCTTCATTTTCATCATCTACGAGATCCAAAATGTTGCTATCGAGGTTTCTCCATGGTGTCGAGCTTTTCCCTGAGTATAATCTTCTGTTGCGAGAGTTTATCCTGTAACGACGGCTCGAAATTGGCGATTGAATCTTTAACTCCTCGCGCAAGTGACTTGCGCCAGGAGTTTCTTTACATGTGATCAATGACCACCGCGAATTTACTTTTCTTGAATACTTCAGCCATTGTTGTCCCAAAATCCGGCTCAAAAGACCATGTAATGAGTTTATTCCGTTTTTCTACTCACAACAACTGACTAAAGTGAATCTGACCGAGTTTAAACTAGAATTTCAGAGTTTGATCCATGAGCGCCATGAAAACACATACACCAAAACAACTCCGACCGAGTAAAATCACATAAAGTGATCACGTGATTAACAATCAACCAGTCCATGTCATCTAAGGGGGTCCTCTGAATTCCGCACAGTAATCACCATTTTTGAGGATATTTATCAGAGTGCCCCGTGTGTGCAATATGTGTGTAAGTCTTATGCCTGCAGTCAAAAGTCTTAATTTTGGCCCATTTTTTATCGATCAGGAAAATCTTCTTGTCTCAAATCTCAGCTGCAGACTGTTAAAATTTTGACCAATTCTTAGCTATCAGTTGAGCTCCACACAGGAACTTAACATGCGAGAAGCCGTCTAGCAGACTTATCAAAAAGTTAACATGAGTAGTTGGAGGAGGAGTGAGTGAATTTTTGGCCACTACAACAACTCGGCAATGCTCTCCGCCATTTTCCGAATTACAAACGATGTTAACATTCCAATTCTTAGATTTGGAAAATTTTACTCAAACGCAGACCTTCCAAATATGCAAAACATTTCTGTTTACCTTCGTTTTTTTGGGCCTTGAATCGTTTTCGTCCTGTCAAAAAGGCAAAGGAAATAGGCTATTGTCAAGTGATCTTGACCTCAACTTGCTAAGTAACCAATGTCTTAACTAGCTAATAGCTAAGGTGCAGACCTCCTTTTGCCATAGGGCCTCAAAAATTTAATATCCATTCAAAGTTAAGTGAAAGTTATACAGGAAACATTTCTGGAGAATTTGAACACTCTGAGGCTTTCGCAATGCGAATACGTGGTACAGCAAACAAAGAGTCTTAATTCTTGACGGAGAACCTCATTTTTGATCAATTTGTCCTTGCGACTATAAGTAACAATGCAAAGCGAAAGAAAACTGTAACGAGAATTAAGGAAGTTCTCAATCGGCGCATATTTGTGACCACATAAATACAACTTCGCAGTACGTCAATCAGAAAAAGTTTTGTCCACCTATCAGATCTTGGACGTTAATGATTAAGAGAATGCAGATATAAAACAATAAAAGTCTTAATTCTGGCCCATTTTTATCGATCAGGAAAATCTTCTTATCTCAGATCTCAGCTGCTGACTGTTAAAATTTTAACCAGTTCTTAGCTATCAGTTGAGCCCCACAGAGAAACTTAACACGCGAAAAGCCGTCTAGCGGACGTATCAAAAAGTTAACAGGAGTGGTTGGAAGGAGTAAATTTTTGGCCACCACAACAACTCGGCAATGCTCTCCGCCATTTTCCGAATTAAAAACGATGTTAACATTCCGATTTTTAGATTCGGAAAATTTT